TATTTGCATGAATGTTAGATGCCTGGCAGCAGCCTTAGGAGCTTCCCTCTGAATTCTATAGATGCATGAAGCCCTGAAGCTTCTTTTGCAGAGCTGTTCAGTACAGAGTTATGTGCTGCTACTGGTGTTAATACAAGGAGAATTAATGTAACAGTGCTTGTGGAAAACCTCTGAATCTCCTATCAGTGATTCCAAAGCTCTGCTGAAAAGAATTAAGCAGCCTACAATGCAAAGCACTCATAAGGGAAACATAAATAGAAAAAGAAAATAAGTAATAGCAACTATGATGTGAAATCAAACAAGGGTGTCTTTATGCTATTAAGGCAATAAAAAACAATTCAATAAAACGGAATGTTTTGGTGTCCAGCTAAGGTAGGTTTCAATGACAGAATTTTGCTTTGGCTATTTTGTTTCTACACAGCTCAGCAGAGAAGTACAAACCTTTGCCCCCAATGTTGATGTCTGTTGCATAGTCCCAGATCATGAGCTGCACCAGCTGTGGGACCCCGGACTCTGAAAGGAACAGAGCTCTTCTAAATCACGGAGAACAGCTGCTTAAATGAGAACTCAGCACAGGTTACTACAGCTAAGGCTTGTCACTTACAGCTGAAGTGCCCCTGGGCATTTTCAGCCTGGTCAGGATTTGGCACATGCCCAGGGCCACTGTCCTCAGGCATGGTGAAACCATTAATCTGAAGGAGCAGTGACAATTTATCAGAGACCCCAGTCACCCCAAGCCCACTTCTTTTAGCTCCTTGCATCTCTGTTACCAGCTGGATTCCGCTGGCAGAGCCACAAGAGGAGATTTAGCTAGATTCAAATGTAACATTTACCCTTTCATTTACAGTGCCTGGGCTGTGTTTGCACAAAACATAGCTTTTCAAGTAAAACTAAAGATACAAATTTAGCTTTAACTAATTTTAAAATCAACTCCTCAGCTAGTTTTAAACATGTGAAACTGACCCCTAGAGAAACTGCAGTAAATTGTGCAGAAATTCAGTATTTTAGCTCCACCACATTTTAATTTGTATATTCTGTTATTATGGCAGTAGAGTGCACTTAGAGTGCTGTAAGGTCTAGTGGAAACTCCAAGGGTCCCACCTGCATTTTTTGGGATGATTTCCCACTATGAAAGCCTTGAATAGGTCAGTCACTGTTGGATGAGCTGCACAGTTCTTCCTGGCACCATTAAATCTGTTTACAGCAGCCATGTAAGGTGGCTCTGAAAATGCTGGAACTCCATCTGTGCTCAGACCACTCCAATTTTAGCAGTGCTTTGATATTTTTCCACAAACAAGACTTGTGATGTCAAGGTCTTGGAGCTACCCCACAATTCAGTACCAAAGTCCTCACAATTTGCACTGTGATCACAAAGATGCTCACAGGGATGCAGTTTCTCTGTGTGAGTTTGCACCACTTGGGATCAGCTGCTGCAAAGGGCAGCAATGAACATCAGAAGGTGGTGAGAGGCACAGAGATTTAGACTTGGACCACAGATGTTAATAGGTTTTTGTTTTGTTTTAATGTTGTGTTTTAATGTTGGTTGTTGTTTTAATGTCTAAGGAAAGTAGAACTGATGGCAGCCACTGCAGGGTGTGCATTTTGTGATTGAAAACTAAAGTGTTCAGACTGGCCCACACTCACACAGGGCCTCTGTGGCAGCCAAGGACTGAGTGCTTCCATTCTCTAGTCAAACAAACCACACCTCAACTCTTGCCAGATTTGTTGTTTTCATTACATTCAGCTGCCAACCAATCTGTTTTATCTGTGCAAACCTCACCCCGTGGCTGGTCACACACCTGCCAGTGTTTCCTCACTTATCCCCCTGAGCATGTCGTCCCACACGATGGGTGTCACCGTGGGGTAAGACCAGGCCAAACAAGTGGCAACTGCTTTTATGTGGGATAAGCACAGCTTCTCTGGAGTGTTGTTTTGCTGCTGCAGCCACTGCTTTGATTCCTCTCCTTGGCCAAGGTAGTAGACCTGAAACACCAAGCAAATCATCCTGACTTCTTGTACAGAAATAAAGTGACGTAGACAATATTCAAAACCCTTCTCCAGATGTGGCCCACTGAGTGGACACATTCCAAAGCACCTCCCAGTGCTGAAGACACTGCAAGCACTTCCATCAGTCTGCAGGAGACTGTGGCCATGAATACATGCATCACCTGAGGGAATTTTGCTATAGAAACTAAAATATCTATATGCCATATTTGCCTTTGGAGTGTTTGTCCTTGGAAGCAGCTCTCACCACATTTATTCACTTCAAATCCAGCAATCCATCAGGACCTGAGGTAGGTAAAATGAGGTTCCTGTCTTGGGGGAGATCATCCAAATGTGAGTGGGGCCATGTCCAAGGGTGGCCCAGGATACTTGAGCCCATGCAGAGAGTGAATTAAAATTTGCTGGTTTAGAGCAGGTTTTTTTTTTTTATTCTATATAAATAGTATCTTGCTTTAACAGCAAATAACAGCTCCTGTCTAGCCTTCCCACCAGTTTCAACACAACAGGATACCAAATGCTAAACTAATATCAGTACAGTCAAGTGGTCATAATGAATTCCAGGGATCTTTGTGCCATCAGGATGGTTTTAAGAAACTATGAGAAAGAGAAGCTTGAGTCTTCTCAAGGAGACAAACTACCAAGGTAAAAAACCCAACACTTCCAACCACAGGAGGGTTTACTTTGAGTAATTTGCCCAGAACAATGAGCCAATATCTTACACCAAACTTACAGGATTCCTAATGAACAGCTCTAACTGATATCTCACTACAAACACTCACTTGACCTAACCCCAAAATCTGTTAGTTTTAAGAAGCTGCTTTCAATACTTTGATATTACACTCATATCTATGGAAATGGCAACCTGTGCTACAGGAATAATTTATTGGCAAAAAGACTTTTATACACTGGCTTGTGTGGTGTTCTCTGTCCCCAAAATCCCACCCAAACAAGGCCTGGGCACCACTGAAATGCAGAAGCCTCAGCCCTTGCTGTCATTCCTCAAAAGAAAAGAAACATTCCCAGCTCAAGAGAAGTCCCACCTCATCACATCCGATGTGAAACCACTGCAGGTTCTCGTGCAGGGCCATGACCTGGTCAATCATGGCTTTGACCAGTGCCAGTGACTCCTCCTTGTGCGGGTTCAGGGCGTTGGGCATCTCCTTCACCTCCCGCAGATGGGCAAACTCCCTGTGCTTCAGCACAAACTGCAAGGGAAAGGGGAGCTCAGGGGCAGCTGCCACACCAGGGGACAGCAGCGTCCCCAAGGCTCTGAGGGCAGGTGTCCTGCTAAACCTGGGGTTTGGCCTGGCTGAGCCCCAGGGACAGGCTGGGGGCTCAGCTGCTGCTCCACGCTGCTGGGGGGTCTCTGACCATGAAGCACCTCACAGGGTGGGTGAAGGAAACAGGGAGGTCACTGCAGTGTGACCCTGATGTCAAATCCTGCAGCTGGCAGAGCTGGATAACCAGAGCACTGGGACTTGGATTGGAAAATTCCAGCAGAGAATCCCAGAATGGGTCAGGCTGGAAGGCAGCACAGTAGCTCATCTGGTCCCACCTCCCTGCTCCAGCAGGGCCAGGGTTGTGTCCAGAGGGCTCTGGAATATCCCTAGTGAGGAAGACTCCACACCCTCTCTGGACAACTTGCTCAGGGCCTGGTCACTGCACATGGAAGAAGTTCTGCCTCATGTTCAGGTGGAACTTCCTGAAGTTCCAGTGCTCCAGATATCACCAGGGCTGAGCAGAGGGGCAGGATCACTCCCTGCCCAGCTTCCAATGCTCTTCCTACTGCACCCCCAGATGCCACCAGCCTTGCTGCCCGCCGGGCACTGCTGGCTCAGCACACCCCCTCTCAGCCAGCCCAGCACGCCCAGCTCACCTCCATGTGCCCGAAGCTCTGCACCAGCGGCACCACGTCCAGGCCCTGCGCCCGCGCCCAGCCCAGCAGCGCCTGGAGCTCCTCAGGGCTGTGAGAGAGCGACCGTCAGTGCCCGCTGGGCACGGCCCGGGGCGCCTGCGGGCACCCAGAGCTGCCTGAGGGTACGTGCTGCTACCTGTAGGCGTGGGGGGCCTGCAGCACCTCCAACGGCCCCGTGTACGGGAAGGTGTCCTCATACTCCAGCAGCAGCCCCGTGGCACCCAGGGAGCGGAGCAGCGGCAGCAGCTGAGGGAGGGAGGGAGGGAGAGGGGGACACTGGGGATGCAGCTGGGCTGTGAGCAGTGCCACCACCCTGTGCCCTGTCACCTGCAGCAGGTGTATCCCTCACCTGGGCCCAGTACATCCCTCATCTGAGCCCAATACATCTTTCACCTGTGCCAGGGACATTCTTCACCCATACCAGGTACACCCCTCACCTGAGCCCAACACATCCCTTACTTGTGCCAGATACGTCCCTCACCTACACCAGGCACATCCCTCACCTCTCTCAGATGCACCCCTCACCTGCCCCAGGCACATCCCTCATCTCCCTCAGGTTCACCCCTCACCTCTCTCAGTCTCATCCCTCATCTCCCTCAGGTTCACCCCTCACCTCTCTCAGTCTCATCCCTCATCTCCCTCAGGCTCACCCCTCACCTGCTCCAGGCACATCCCTCACCTCCCTCAGACTCACCCCTCACCTCTCTCAGGTGCACCCCTCACCTGCTCCAGACACATCCCTCACCTCCCTCAGCTTCACCCCTCACCTGCTCCAGGTACTGCGCGCGCGGCGCGGCGCCCTTCAGGTCCAGGTGCACCAGGCGCCGCCACATGCTCTGGTCTCGATTGCTTTGGCCTGTTGCCGTGGCGTCCCTGCACACCCCGCCCGGCCGCACGCCCCTGTCCCTGCCCCGCTGTCCCGGCGCTGCCCGCCCGCGCCCTGCTGTCCCGGTGTCCCGTTGTCCCCTTGTCCCCCTGTCCCTCTGTCCCGGTGCGCCCCTCCCGGCTCTGCGCTGGATCCTTCCACTCGCTCTCGCAGCCGAGCGCGTTCCCCAGTCAGGCAGGCCGGCAGGCCAGGGCGAGGCGCGCCGAGCGCATCGCTCGAGGCGGAGGAGGCGCGATGGCTCCGCAGCGGAGGGCGCTGCCCCGCGGCCCCGAGAGCGCCGGGCCGGGGCCGGGCCGCGGAGCCCGCCGGCACAGCAGGTACCAGCGCGGGGCCCTGGCCGTCACCTCCTGCTCGCTGTCCCGGGGGCGGTGGCGCCCAGGCCCGGCGGCACTGCGGCTCCCGGGGGTGCCCTGGTGGGGAGGCGATCGCGCAGCGCCGGGCCCGGGAGCGGGAGGGATCCGTGTGTTTGTAACGCGTGTGGTGTGCTCCAACCCGGGCATCCCGCGGGTGAGGGCCCGGGCGGGATCCGTGTGTTTGTAACGCGTGTGTTCTGCTCCGAACCGGGCATCCCGCGGGTGAGGCCCGGGCGGGATCCGTGTGTTTGTAACGCGTGTGTTCTGCTCCGAACCGGGCATTCTGCGGGTGAGGGCCCGGGAGGGATCCGTGTGTTTGTAACGCGTGTGGTGTGCTCCAACCCGGGCATTCTGCGGGGTGAGGGCCCGGGAGGGATCCGTGTGTTTGTAACGCGTGTGTTCTGCTCCGAACCGGGGTCCCGCGGGCCCGGGGCTCTCCGGTATCGGCCAGGGCCGTCCCTCCCCGCTCACGGGGCCCGTTCTGTGCTCTCTCGGCAGCTCCAGGAAGGGCAGATTCCAGCAGGATCCCCGAGGAAAGTGGCTGAAAGCAGCGATCCTCCTCCTCCTCTCCGCCGCGGCCGGCGGCGGCCTCGTGGTCTGGAGCCGCCTCCGCGGCCAGGATGAGATCCCTGAGGGTGGAATCCCGGCAGAGGGGGTTCCCGAGGGTGGAATCCCCTCGGATGGGCTCACCGAGGTGCTGGCACATCGCAGTGACACCCTGCAGCAGCGGTTCGTGGAGGTGCCCTGCTCGGAGGACTACGAGAGCCACAGGCGCTTTGCAGGTACCGGGCAGGGCTGGCCGCAGCGCTGGCCGCGCTCGCAGGGCAGGACCAGCTTGGCCGCTGCCTGGGCACCAAACTTGGGCTGCAGAACTGCCGTGTTTGCAGCAAACTCCTGGTCACTGTCTTTTGCCTAAAGCCCCAAATGTTCGTGGTCCTCGGGCCAGCCCAGAAATTGACTCTGAGAGGTTTGTTTCCCTTCTGAAACTGCTTTGCAGGGGCTCTATGAAATAAACCTTCTGCTAAGTCTGTTTCTGGTTTGTTTCCATACTCTCTTGATTCTTGGGTGAGTTTGCTGCTGCTCAGGACCATACAGGGTATGGAGTGGCACTGATGCAGGACACTGACTGTGCCACCAGCGTCTGGTGACTGCACAAGTGCCAACTTTTGACACATATTCTGAGATCTGTGTCTGCCATTGGCTTTGGGGGTATGCCTGCAAAGCACTTCTCTGTCTTTGTGTCTTTCTGCTGAACCTGTTTTCTGTCAAATGTTTATCTGTTCCCCCTGGCACTTATTTCTTTGAAGTGTTGAGGTTAGTTCTTCAAGAGACTTGGAAGATTTTAATCTTCTCTGACAAAGAGCAGTGAGAGTCTGACTTGCAGCTTCCATGAATGAGCAGTGCTGATGTTCTCTTTCAGATTTGCAAAGTGTGTTGTGGTGAACATTTTTAGTTGGTACAGCTGCCAGAGAGCAGCTCTGCCCTTGGTTTTTGTCAGTATGTCTGGCTGTGCGTTGACTGATAAGCTGTTGAATTTAAAAAAACCAACTTCTGAGTTAGTTTTTAGCTAAATTGGTGATTGCATCTGCCTCATGATGTGGCTGAGAAAACGCTGACACGAAGCTGGAGGCTGGAAAAAACTGCTGTGAGCTGAGGAAGAACAAAGGTGATCAAAGGGCTGGAGAACCCATCCTATAAGGAAAACCTCAGGGAGCTGGGTCTCCTTTCCCTGGAGAAGGCTCAGGGAGAACACACTGCAGTATTCCAGTGCTTAAAGGGAAGCTACAGAGGACAGAAGCTCTGCCCTTGTAAGGAGCTGCACAGAGAAGACAAGGCACAGTGGGTGCAGGTTGCATTGGGCAAGGCTTCATCTTGATATAAAAAAAATTTACAGAGAGAACAACCTGCCCAGGGGTGCTGTGCAGCCCCTCTGACTGAGGGTTTCCAGGCTGTGACTGAGCACTGTGCTAGATAATCTTATCCAGGCTCTCTGGACCACAAAAAGCTGAACCAGATGATCTTTGGAGGTCCTTTCCCAGGCTCTTCTGTGATTCTGCAATTTTTAACTTTTTCCTGTGCTTGTTGTGATATAAAGTATTTGACAAATTGCAGCCCCATGTTCTTCAGGTGGCTGGTCCTGGTGCTGTTGGTCAAAAAGACTTTTAACATAAAAGAAAATGTTATGTGGAATCTGAGGTCCCATAGTTTTTCCTCAGTGCTGCTACTGTAGCATCTTTTTTTTGAGGATTCATCCCAAATGTTTTTTAGGCCAAGACAACTGATGTCAGGAAGCTACCAAGAAAAAAACTGTCTTGGTAAGGTAATTATTTTTGACATGAGAACACATGTTCTGTGTTAACTTTTCATAGTTACTATAAGGGGAAACTGCTGCTGGGTGAATTTGTGTAGTGCAAGGCCAGAGAAAACTGCAGCTGCTGATTTGGTTATAACTGAACTGGTGCTCAAAGTCTCTGGATTCTGCTACTGCAGTGTTTGCTTACTAAAATAACCCCCCAAACCAACAAAACTTTACTTTTCCCTTCCCAGGTTTGCAAGAACAATTTTTTGAGCTTGTTTGAGGCTGGTGGTCTGGGCCATCCCACCAGTTATGCGTCCCGCGGGCCCGGGGCTCTCCGGTATCGGCCAGGGCCGTCCCTCCCCGCTCACGGGGCCCGTTCTGTGCTCTCTCGGCAGCTCCAGGAAGGGCAGATTCCAGCAGGATCCCCGAGGAAAGTGGCTGAAAGCAGCGATCCTCCTCCTCCTCTCCGCCGCGGCCGGCGGCGGCCTCGTGGTCTGGAGCCGCCTCCGCGGCCAGGATGAGATCCCTGAGGGTGGAATCCCCGCAGAGGGGGTTCCCGAGGGTGGAATCCCCTCGGATGGGCTCACCGAGGTGCTGGCACATCGCAGTGACACCCTGCAGCAGCGGTTCGTGGAGGTGCCCTGCTCGGAGGACTACGAGAGCCACAGGCGCTTTGCAGGTACCGGGCAGGGCTGGCCGCAGCGCTGGCCGCGCTCGCAGGGCAGGACCAGCTTGGCCGCTGCCTGGGCACCAAACTTGGGCTGCAGAACTGCCGTGTTTGCAGCAAACTCCTGGTCACTGTCTTTTGCCTAAAGCCCCAAATGTTCGTGGCCCTCGGGCCAGCCCAGAAATTGACTCTGAGAGGTTTGTTTCCATTCTGAAACTGCTTTGCAAGGGCTCTATGAATTAAACCTTCTGCTAAGTCTGTTTCTGGTTTGTTTCCATACTCTCTTGATTCTTGGGTGAGCAAGAACAATTTTTTGAGCTTGTGGTCTGGGCCATCCCACCAGTTATGCTTTTCATTGTTTTCTTTCTATTCTTTTTTCATCCTATTCTTTTCACTGTAAGGAAGGCAGGAACTTGAAGCACATCTCTCCAGGAACAGGAATGAAGGTGTTCTTTAATTTTGGGGTGTCTGGGGAGCAGCAGCAAGTGCTGACTGCACGGTGAGGTCTCACCTCTTGGCTTTGTATGGGGATAATTGACTCACCTTTCTAATTAGGTGTTTGGTCTTGCTGCTTAAGTTCTGTGATTTATTTAGGTTTTTGTTTTTGGTTTTTTTTAAAAATTATTTTATTTTATCTGTGTTGTGACCATGCTTTTGAGGATCCAACTCTTAACTGGTTAATTAAAGCTGAGCTGTGATAATTTTCCCACGAGAGGGTGGTGATGAGCTGTGGAGGAGTTTTTGTGTGTCCCATTCCCCACAGCAGAGCTAGGCAGAAAATGTGGATTATGGATCAGCTCAGCAGCTTTAGGCACTTGGAAATAGGTTTCTGTCACTCAATAGCTCTTCATTCTCAGTCTTTAGCCTGGTTTGGCACCCTCAGCTGCAGGCTCTGTGTCAGGAGGAGGCACATTCCTGTCACCACTCAGTGTCTGATGCTCAGCTGTGAAGTTTCCACAGCTAAAATGAGCTTTTTATTTATGCACCTGTCCCTGCTTCCAGCTGAACTTGGTGCAGCTGAGCTTCCAGTTTGCTTCAAGTGATTTGGTAGCTGGTGTCAGAGCAGGATTTATTCCCTTAGCACTGCCTGCCTGTAAATATACTTCATACCAAATAAAATTTGCTATTTTTTCAGAGGCCAAGCACTTAACTTATTCTATTTGCAGAAGATGGGTGTTATGAGCACAGTCTCACCTGCACTCTAAACTCTGGGGGCAGATCTTGACCATTTCTGCTCTTATGAGACACGGCTAACTGCTTAAACCTGCTGTGGCCACTGTGTGTGGTGAAATCTTATTTCTGCTGTGTGTTGACATTTTGTGTCAGTGCACAAAGCATCCCTGGGCACTGCCGGGGGGACAGAGTTAAAGGCACTGCCCAGGAGCCAGATTTAAGGTGCTTTTCCAGAGACAAGGCCAGGGATGTGGAAAGGTCTAACCCAGCCTGCTGTGGGGATGGCAGCTGTGAATCCCTGCCTTGGAGAGGGATTGTTCCTGCCCAGGGCAGGAGGAATGAGATGACTTCCAAAGTCTCTTCCAACCAAACTGTTCTATCATCCTGTGCCTCAGGGGAAAATCTTACCAGAGCTTTTTTCCTCCTGTGAATCCTCTCTGGCTCAGCACAGAGTGGTTCTTGGTTAAATACCACTAAGCAGGAACACAGCTGCAGTTTGGGCACTTGGTCCCTTGTGTTACATTCTGGTTTTTGTGCTGAATGGGAGCAGGGGCCAGTGGCAGTGTTCTACATATTTACTTGTTTTACATATTTACATATTTTACTTGTGTTTTACATATTTTGGTATGTTCCTCCTTTACCTTGATTTACCTGGTAGCCAGAGCTGATGGTGCCTTATCAGATAAAGGACCAGATCAGATAAAGGTTTTCAAATCATACCATTTTTTCCTCCCCTTTTTTTACAAGTACAAAATTTTGCTATATAGCACCCACTTTTTACAATTTCTCTGGACACCATAACAATATTAAAAAAACCAAGCAAGAACAATTAATATCTCAGCAAGCACAGACAATTCTGCTACTACAGGCTGAGCTGGAAGCTCTCTTTTGCAAAAGGGGAGTTGCACCCATTAATTCTTTCAGAATATAAATTTTAATGAAAATTAAGAGCAAAATGGTATACCAGGTTACCTTATGCCATACTTCTCAAAAAAAGCAATATTTTTTCTAGAGAAACTCAGTGAACCAAGTTCATCTTGAGTTAGTGGTAGCTGAGGAAATACAACTTTGAAAATCACTTTATTCTGAGTACCTCGAGAGGAACTGAAATAAAGGGTAATAACTGAGATAAAGAGATGGTTTTGTGTCTGCTGGGCACAAATTTGTGGAAGCTACCAGGTACTTGCATTACTAATCTGAATTTCTCCTGAGATTCTGCAGGTATGGCTTTGACTCTTCCTTGCCATGGTCTCTGAGACAGAGAGGACACTTTTCTTAGTGCTGAAATAATTTTCAAACAGACTGTTCTGATTTTTCCTGAGCATTCACCCAGTGTTTGTGCTGCACTGTTGGTACCTGACTGACTTTATGCTGGACTACATTCTTCTGTTTGTTGCAGTTTTTTCTCCATTTGGGAAAGCTTGTGCTGTTGCTTTCAGAGCACCTCCTGTTTCCAGTTCTCTGTCAGAGACCCCAGGCATGTAACAATTGTCTGAGGTAACCCTGTGGTTTTGCCAAGCCTGGATATTTGCAGCTGGAAAAGGAACAGATCTTGTCTGAATTCAGAAATCTTTGCTGAATGTTGTAGAAAGGAAGCTCTCAGTAGTCAGGTTTGCCCTGGAGTATTGAATTTCTCCTTTGAGTTTACTCTTCTCTACTTGAAAATCAGCTTTCCCTTGCAGCCCACCTGAGACATAGCTGGTGTATATCCAGTAATAGGAAATGGAAATTCCTGCAAAATTCCTGGCAAAACTTCTCCCATCAGCCTGCTCATTGTTATGAGTTGCCTTTTGATGAGAGCACACTGATGCTTTTGTCCTCCATGGGTGAATTGATGGATTTCTTTCCAGGAATTTTGTGTTCTGATGAATAAATAACTCTTGAAGTGACACTCCAGGAGCAGCACTGAGTGTGTTGGCAGTGTCAGTAACCACACTCAGCCCCTCTCTCCTGGGGCTTTACATCTGTAAATGGATCTTTCTCAGAAAAGTGCCAAATGTAACATCCCAAGGTCTCTGGTGGCTCAGAACTGATTTTATTTCTTCTTCTTGCCTGAAGATTGTTGTCAACCAGACTTATAAGAACTTTCATATATTCTTCACCTGGAGCTCCTGCTGCTGACTTGTTATTCCCAGGAGCTTTTAAAATTTAATGTTAGATTTCTTAGCAGTGAATTTTAGGAGATTTTTTAAATCTTATATATCCAAGCTGTGTGCTTCAAGAGTGACTTCAAGAGAGGCTTTTGTGCAAAGTCTCATTTACAAACCTGCCCTTCAGGTGGCTGAAGTGGTTTCAATGGGTTCTTTTCCTCCTCTTTGTGTTGCAGGTTGCACTCCTAGGAAGTGTGGAAGAGGTGTGACAGATGCTGTAATCACAAGGGAAGAAGCTGAAAGAATTCGTAGGTAATTCTTCTTTTAGCTCCAACTTTTAAAAGCACTGATTTTAATGACATTGTGCCAATCTGAGGGGTAGGATGGATGAGCAGGATGGGTTAGCCTGATCAAAACATGAAATTTTTGTTACTAAAGCCATTTTCCATTTTTACTGTAGTGGGGGCAGTTCTTTCACACAGAATCTGCCTGGCTCTGAGGGGCATGAGCACTTCACAGAAAGAAAGCAAAATGAATTAAATAAGTTTGAAAGGATTTTCACTTGGCCTCCATTTGGCCTTTAAAAGCAGAACAAAACAATGTGAGCCTTCTTGCAGCTGTGTCTCTGTCTGGGTAATCACAGCAGCAGTCCTCTGTGAAGGGATTGGTTTGAGGGTATTTTTGGGATTTGTGGAAGGGAGCTGCAAGCTCAGAAATGTTCTGCAACACAAATACTTCGTTTTCATGACAGGCTGGAAGGCTCAGTTTCCAAGAAATGGGAGCTGCTGTTAAAACTCATTTGAATTATACCTGAAGCATCAAATCCCACTCTGCGGGGAGTTACGTGTTGTAAATAAGGACATTAAAGACAAAGTAATCAAACTCCAGTTCTCATCTGAGATTATTGTTTTGCCTGCAGAATAGCAGAGAGGGGACTGTCCTTGGGAGGATCTGATGGAGGGGTGAGCAGTGTCCTGTTATTTTCTACATTCTTTTACTGCCAAGGCAAGATTATAAATGCATTTTTTGGGGCTGAGGTGAGGAGATGGAGATTTTTTCCGTCTGTTCAGACTTGGAAAAGAATTGATTTGGAAAGTTATTTCTCATTAATACTTCTGCTAGCATTGTAACTCCTGATTCTGCAGTACAGAATACATTTCCTTGTATTTAATTATTTCTAGCACCTCTCTTGAACTGATTTTGTCTTGGTCTGGAAAGAGTTGCTAAAGCAGAAGTGCAAAAGTTTATCTTCTGAAAGTAAATTACAGTGATTCACAGAATCATGTAAAGATTGGTTTTGTAGAGACAAAAAAAAGCATGTAATGTCTTAAGCAGCCCTTGGAATAATATTCTTTAAACTGAAAGAATCCCACTTCTCTTTAATGAGCACATTCGTTTTAATTTCTTTCCCCCATCTTTGTTCTCAGAATGTTTTTGTGTGTGAACAGGAGCTCTTTCTTGATTATTTGTAAACACAGCCACTCCTTTAGGCCTCTGCTGAATTAAGGCATATATTAGCAAAAAAAGAAGGGTTTCAGTGGAAAAAACCATCACTTTATTGTCCTTGTGATTGCTGAGAAAGATCTGCAAAAAATATAAACCAAGAAATTTAAGCAGTGCTGCCCATCTCAAAGTGTTTAAAAGATTTAACATTTTGTGTTCAGTTCTGTTAGAGTCCCTGGACTTTTCTTCAGTTCTGTGGTTTCATGATTTGCCCCTTTCCCTGGGTTGCTCTGCCCTTTGGGACCCCCAGTGTGGCTCCTGGGGTTGTCACCTGGCTTTGCTGTCCTCTGCTTTTGGGACCCACGTGGGATCCTTCATCACACTCCCACAAAGAAGGATTAGAATGGCAGGGGGGAGCACACAGGGCTTGGATCTGGAGATCCACAGAGAGCTGTTGTCCAGCTGGGGGTCAGGAACTGGGGAAACTGAGGCACAAAGGGCTGGGAAGAGATTTGAGGGGAGCTGAACTTGCTGCCCAAAGCCCAGAGCTGGGCAGGGGTGCTGAGCTGGTTTAGATGGACAGCAAGCCAGAGTGACAGACAATACAAATGCATCATCTCTGTTATTTTGGAAACTTCATTTTACCTCCTTTTTATTTTATTTTTTTTAAGGTGAGGTAAATGAGAGGGAGAGGAAGCTACTTCTCTCTCGCTGCAATCAATTAAATCTGTTAAAAATCTGATGTCTGTGGAGAGGTGTGAGCTCTGAGCCAATACACAAGCTGAGAAGTGCTGGGTGCTTGAATATTCTTTTTGAATTCTTTTAGCAGTAAGAGGGTGGAGAATATAGGACTAATAGTATTGAAAGTCCAGAAGAACATGTTTGTGCTTTTCATTTTTTTCAGAAAGTTCTATTTCACTTCTGTAGAGAGTTCTGTAAACCAGGATACGGAGTAGTTCTGTCAAACAGTCTTTCAGAAACAGGAGTGTGAGTGTGTGTTTGCCATCTTTAGACAAACTTTGTAGGCATTTCAGCCTGGGAACACTGTCCTGAACTGCAGGCTGGCCCTTGATCAGAGAGCAAGGCTTGAGGTAATCAAGATTTTATTCACAGTGTCAGAAAGGATGCTGAAAATGTTAAATATTCTGAAATGACTGAGGCCAAAATAGATATGTTCTTATTTCTTTCCCAGGTAGCTGTTAAGCAAAGAGCTCTGTGCTCATGTGTAAGAAAGTCCCTGTCTTGGCATTCAGGTGTTTTCCCCTGTCTGATGAAGGATATTGTTTCTTTTTCAGGTTCTCTCTTCATCCTTTATCTGGTTTTTCTAGCCTTTATTGTTGTAGCTATTGACTTCTCAGCTATTAATAACTGCAATTCTTAGGGGTTTGTCTTTTATTGATTCATTTCATTATTTGCATTTTCCAAACTAATCATCTGGAGCTTGGGGAGTGAGAAGAAATGTGTAAGAGAAGCATGTGGAAAGAGTTAGAAAGGCAATTTGTTTTTAAATTAAATTAATCTTAGCTGTGTTGTGCTACTTCTTATAATCTACTTTAATATGGTCACAAACATATCTTTGAAGCTATACAGGAGCAGTTTTACTTCTTTTAGCTGTGGCTTAGATTTTTGTACAGAACCAGAAACAAACAGATGAAAGTATTTTGCTTCTGAAGCTTGAGTAAGGCTTGAGACAAGAGCTGCTCTTGCCTGAGTGTGAGATTGTTTCCTTAGCAGTCCTCTGAAGCTTTTGGAGAGCAGTGGGAAGGGCAGATCTGAAAAGCTCATGCTGTGTCCACTCCAGTAACTTGTTACTTTATATATTTTTCAAGGAGTAAATAAAGTTATTTGTGTAGCCTTGTTAAAAAAAAAGGTTGTTGTTATCTTCTGTAACAAGAGCTGTTAGTGGGGTTCCCCTGGTTCAGCCCTGGAGCTCAGAGCAATTGAGGCTGCAGAGATTTTCTAAGGGACTGTGATGAGTGTGTTCCCCTGTCACCAGTGTTGTTACTGCTGGGATTTTGTTGGAATGATGTGAATGGTCTGTGGTGCGTCCAAACAATGGCAGATTCCAAGATGAGTGCCCAGATATTGTACATCAGAGGTGTCATTACTTCAATGCCAGGTTAATTAACTGGTGCTCTTTGGTATTTCCAGTGTAAAAGACAAAAAGACTTCTATTAGACAGTTCTATTTTTAAATACTTTAGAACTGAATGCAGAACATACATGTATTTTGTGGACAGCAAGGGGCATACAAAAGTGTACTTTATTCAATTTAGAGAAACACTTTAGAATCCTCTCTTCTGGCAAATCTGAATACTAATCTCTGCAGCTTGTTGGGAGCTCAGCAGAAGAGTTTGGATTGAGTTGGATGAAGAAATGGATTGAATTTTCCTTTGTCAAAAAACTTTTCACTATGTGGTTTTCTTTTATAGCAGCTTGGAAATTGAGGAAAAGAAAGTTTAGCCCTAGTAAGCCTTGGAATTCTAATTGAACTTTTAAACAGACTTTTTAATGTCTGTATTAAATATGAGAAGTATACAGGATCTCGTGGTGAAGGAGAAGTTTTAATAACAAAGGCAGGGCAAGATAAATATTAGTGCTGCTACTTGAGCACACAAATACTGGAAAATGTGTGTGGAAGGGAAATGTCTTCAAGAAGGGAACCTGGAGCAGGGTGATTTACCCTGAGCCCATGGGGAGAGATTGGCAATTCCCTGTTAGATCTGACTCTCAGAAATAGCAGTCCTATGCTTCCTGGAGCAGGGTGATTTACCCTCTGAGCCCATGGGGGGAGATTGGCAATTCCCTGTTAGATCTGACTCTCAGAAATAGCAGTCCTATGCTTTTTTTTTTTTAATAATACCTTAATAATCTCTGCATCTGTGCAGGAATCTGAGGGAGGTTTCTAGTTGTAAAATAAATGTTATATTGTGAACCCAAAGGCTGGAAACTGCTTTTACTTGGGAGGCTGTGGAAAGTGAGAGACAGCTTGGGACAGTTATTAAAGGTCATAGTTAAATAATGCTAAAACATTTTCATGCTCATTTTTCTTTCTTTGTTTTCTTTTCCAGGCATCAATTTTGGACTTGCACTCTGGAGCTCTTTCCCTGGGGAAGCATTTTGTTAATCTGTACAGGTAAAATGAGGTTGTGGCTTCCTGCCTGCTGTCATCCATCCCTTCCCTGCCCACTGCCTTTCCCAGTGTCTCCATCCCCTGGGCTGGGATTAGTGATGAGAAATTATGGAACTTGGCTGCATCCACCACACTTTCCATGACCAGTTAAAGAGCTTTCCTGGCATGAAAAAGAATCTTTTGTTGAACTGGGCACTTTGAAAGCTGCCATTATCTCTATTTTTATGTTCTTGCACTGGTTAATCATAGTATTTTTTCACAGTTATAGTTTAGTTTATTCAGCAGTGGAAGAAATCAAATAGCCTGAACCATTAAAAACTTGAATCCATGTGCTTATTTCATGATGTGGGAGGGGATTTTTTTAATGCCTGAGGAATGCCATTACCAGTTGCAGCATTTCAATCCTTTAATCTTTTAACATTTGATCTTATAGCATCGCTTTTAGACATCATGCTCAAAGCATTTGTAAGATATTTTTTGGGTGTGTGTGTTGTGTTCTCACTTTTTGATTGGGGATAAGGAGTTGTTATTGCTCAGTATGATTCAGCAACTCCTCTTTTAGGTTGTTGTTTAATTTTTCAGGTACTTTGGGGACAAAATTCAAGACATCTTCACAGAAGAGGATTTTGCCTTATACCGGTAAAGCTTTTCAATAACTGCTGAATGAACCACAAACCAGAAATTTTTATGGTTTTGAGTTTTTTGTGGAGTGCAGGCTGGGAGGGGATTGCCCTTTGCATTCATACACTGGATTTTGCAGCTCAAAATAGTAGTATCTGAGAAGAAATGTGACTCAAATAAGAAAAGTAAAAGGATTTTTTGGTGACTGATAAACATCAGCTGCTTGGAGCTGCATCAGCCACGTCTGGACAGTTTTATGATGTGAATGTTTTTAGGGTGATGGCAGCACCACACACTTCCCTCCCTCGCAGCAAGAAGAGCCACTCTTCTGAGCTCTGTGGGGATTTGGGATGGATAATCCTCATTGCCTCCTCTTTCAAACTTTATCCGGGGGGTTGTGTGAGATGATAGACACAATTCTGGGCTATTATTACATCAGGAACTTGGGGTTTTTTGAGGCAGAGTGTAGCAAAACATTAAAAACGGTAAAGCAGGAAGTGGAAGGACTTGAGATGACTCATGTTGTGGCTGGAGGAGCAGCCAGAGGATGAAATAACTCTATAATGGAGCAGCTCTGGCATCTGATGCTCCCAGCTTTCCTGCAGCCCTGCTCATGCACTTAACACACACACCAAAGCTAACGAGTTCCATGTGCCTGGGAAGGTGTGTGGCCAGAGTTTAGGAACAAGCATTCTTTATTGACTAGACACAATAATTCTTTGGTTAGGCATTTCAGTTGGTTTCTCATAATTTAAAATGTCCCTGATTTGAATATTTTAACTTTTTTTTTTTTTTGGTCTTTTTTTTCTTGCCTGTTTGAAGGAATCTGATCTCTCTCTAGTGGTGGAAGGAATGTTAAGTAGCCAAATGGGGTTATTAGTTTTATTAAAATGGTAGTTAATCAATATAATCCTAAAATATTAATCACTTTGAGCTTATTTTTATTTAACAGCTGTTTTTCAATGTCATCGTCTTTATAGATTAACATCTTTAAAATGTTTTTACTTTTGATCCCAGTATTGTAAAAATTAATGATTGCTTGATTATTATTAAACTTCAGATAATTTCTGTTTCACATGAACGGAAGCATTCAATTTTTCAATACTTTTATAAATTTATGCTGTGAGATGAGACAACTGCTAGGGAATGTCAATATTCCAATGGAATTTCATGCCAGTACAGGGGATGTTTCAATCTACTGGATAAGAAGCTAATATAAAATATATTATTAAATGCTTCTGTTCCTATTAATGGCAGTGCTTTAGCATGGGCTGTAGTACTTTGTGGCCTTAATGAATGATTTTATGCTATTTTTGGGAACATTTATCTTTATTACTTTACCAAGGTCACTTTAAAAATACACTCTTGAGAGAAATAACTGAATGTAAATCATGTCTAAGTGTTACTGATTGCAACAATAACGCATCTGAGAAGGCATCCTGAGCCACGGGGCTGATTTTTAAACTGTCTCTGTCAAAATTACATTGCTTCAGACTCAATTATGGTTTCTAGGCTGATGCTTTAACCACCATCTGCCAAGCACATTACAGCAATCCCTCTTGTTCCACATAATAAATGAAATGTTTATTCAGAAGGGAGACCTTTAGTCAGGATGCTTGGTGGAAGGGGTGAGTTGAGCAGAAAGATTTACTCCCAAAACCTGACAGCTTATAAAGGCAGAGACAGGAGGAGCAGGGGAGGAGCTGGGAGTGTGCTTTCTGTGTGTGTGCTGTGTGTGAATCCTGTTAAAGCTCTCTGGCTGCAGGAGCCTTTGCTTTGTCAGCTCCCTGGGCGGTGCTGACAAGTGGGATCATCAGGGAGTTGTGTGGATTGAGCTTTGAGTGTTCCTGTCACCGTGGCTGAATCACATTTTGCAGTGGCTCCTAACTGCTTTTTTTTTGTGTTGGTCTGGCAGAGCCTGTGTCTCACAGAAACTTTTCAGTGGCACTTTCAGCTCTCTGTGCTGCTGCTGCTGCATTAAGCTGGCAGCTTTGCAAGCTGGTGAACTTCCTTTCTTTCAAGTTGTGTCTTCCTTAAGCTTCCAGCTACTTCACTGGCTTTTTTATTTTTATTTTCTTCCTCATCACCCTAGCTCAAAACAGTGACTGTTTTTACAGAATCTGGTGCTCGTGTGCTCCTTTCAGGGAGTTCTGGTCTGGCTTTTTTATTTCTCAGTGCAAATGGACAAGGACTGCTGCTGACGGATGTGGGGGGAGCATTAATTTGGTGCTGATGCTGTTGACTGGAGGCTGTTCCTGGGCATTTCTTACTCCTGCAGAGCTCTGTTATTGCATCTGCTCAGAGCCAGGGTACACCTCAGCAGTCTGAACAGATAAAAGTTGCTGTGCTTATGAAAATAAATGCTTCTCTAGCATGAAGAAATATTTTCTTTGTAGCCATAATCCACCAGAACTCTCCCAACACTTGTGAAGAGCAGGAGCAGTGAGGGAAAGGAGGCTCCTGCTGCTTCTGGGTCATAGAGGCTGAGGGGACAATGTGGCTCTCCCAGTTTTGGGCTCATTCATTCCTTTCTTCTGAGGTGACATTTGGCTTCTCTTGTCACTTGGTTTACACATGAAGGACAATGGTTTTGTCCTTAAGCATTTTGCCAGTAGGTTGTGTTTGGAGCAGCAGGGCAGGGAATGGAATGAAAACCTGCAGTCATGATATTGGTAAATGTTGAAATGGCTTGGCCAGCAGGAAACAGACTGTACAGAAAAGTTCTTCTAGGCTAAAAAGTTCTAAAAGTATTCTACTTTTCAAACCTGTATTTGGCATATTGAGTAGGGCTTTGCATCCTGTTTGGTTTGTAAAACACACACTGTGCCCAAAGCCATTGCACATCAGTCTCCAAGAGGAGTGAAGCTTTAACAGAGCCTTACAAACACCAGAGAGCAAACCTTAAAAGAAAGCTTTTAAAAGTGAAAAATGAACCAGGCTGAAAGAACAGGGAGGACTCCTTGCAGAGCAGGACAACTGGAGGAATTTAGTTATGTCAAGACTGTGGCCTGACTGCTTGGGAGGGGATTTATTCCTGGCTGGTGCAGGGGCCAGGGAATCAGCTGCTCTGCTGTTTGTGGCTGTGAATTCTTCAGCTGGCTTGTTCAAAGCTCTCCATTCACAACATGAATAATTGCATTTAATGCTTTCTGAGAGCCTTTCCTGCATCCTGCTTCTTGGAAAAAGCAGACAGCAAAATCAGCCTCCTACAGCATGAGAAGAGGGAGCTGTAGGTTCTTTCCTTTTACACACTCCACCACTATGTAGCTCTGGACTTCAAACCTCACTTCTTGCACCTATATATGTATCCCTGAAAATCCCTCTGACTTCATTTGATACTTTTTGTATTTCACATGTAAAATAGCTTGAATTGACCCCTAAAAATGTAATGTGAGACAGGTTAAAAAATCAAATCTGTGTGTGTTATTTCTGTTTCTTGTGAGGGACTAGGTGTGAACAGAGTGAATATTTAGTATTTTTTAGTACTTGTGGATTTTAAGAGATGACTTTCACAACCTGTAGACACGCACCACAGGTCTTGTTTTAATTCTGTCACTTCTTTTTAGTCACCATTTAAGTTCCCTAGAGAAATACCTGGGAAAAACTTCCTTGAAAGTTATGCTGAAGTTCAGTACTATCGAGTGGAGAAATGTAATGGAAGATACAAACCTACTACTATAATTCCATGCACAACTTCAGAAATGTGTTTTCTCAGATTATCTTGTTTGTGCACTGTAGTTGTGTGATTGTGAGAGACATCTTTTTTAAAAATTAATTTTATTTCATTTTAAAAAATGAAATAAAAAAAAATCTGGTAATAATACCAATGCATATGTTGACCAAGAGTCCTGAATTTCATTGTGCCAGGGACTTCACCAGTTGGTTTCAAAGTAGTTGAAGGCTCTTCAGAAGCCACCCTTTTATGAAGGTACAACTTTACTTTTACCTGCTTTGAATTAAGAATATCTCTGTGAAAGCCTAATGTTTTCATCAGTTTACAGAAAGTGGGATAGGTGTGGAATTACTCAGGAAAACAGACAGAAATTTTCAAACCTAGGCCACAGGAGACAAAGTTTGTATTCGTTGATATTCTGACAATAAAAAAAAAGAGCCCAAAGAAACAAACCCCAACCAAAACCCCTGGGGGAGGTTTCTCCTCTCTCTCTCCTCTCCCTCTTTTCTCCCTCTTTTCTCTCTCCATTCTCTCTCCCTTCTCTCTCCTCTCCTCAAGGCAAAGTCAGATGTGTCTGTGTTCCATGTTTCTCAGCTGAGGAAGAAGCAGTGAGTGATGAAGAGCACAGGAGCAGCAGGAGGGAGGTGACACTGACTGAGCCCTGTGTGTTCTTTGCAGGGATGTGAGGCAGAGGATTCAGCAGAGGATTGCTCAGGTGTTTGGTATCAGCTCTTCTGCCTTGTACCTGACCAAGCCAACCTTCTTCTCCAGGATGAACAGCACAGGAGCCAAGACAACACACGATGAGTACTGGCACCCACACGTGGACAAGGTGAGGAGGGGGCTGAGATGGGATGCAAACATCTGTTATTATTATTAAATCACCTTGAAATCATTTTACATTTAAACAATCCATCAAACAGGTTTGAAAACTGATGCTTCAGGGGATGAACCTAATGGGAGATAAGTGAGTTTTAGAACCACAGGCCATTGCATCCCATTCATTTTTATTTTCTCTAATTTAGTTTTGTTAGAATTAGTAAACTGAGGATGACTACTCAGGAATCTCTTTTGTCAGAAACACTGATTAAAATGACCTGAATTGCTCTTTCAGCCAGACCTAGAAGGAGCTGTTTCACTGTGATCAGTTGGTCACTGTTATTATTGATCTAAGGCTCTTCAAAAAGGCTTAATATTTTTATTTCAGCTGTATGTGAATTGAAGCTTTTTGAGCTTTTTGTGTTTCAGTGGGGATGTGGTACCTGGAACCCTTTTTCAGTAACTTGGTGTTTTGATCCTTTTAACTGCACAGTCTTATTTCTAGGCTTATAGCTTAATACTTGGCATTTCTCAGTGGACTTAAATTATTTGGTAGTGAGTTTATTTCTGAATTTCACTGAGTTCAAGCATTCTGTGCAGAACAGCAGACTACCAACAATGGAAGAATCAAAGGAAAAAACCCACAACACAAAAAAAAAAAACCCAAAACCAAACCAAACCCAAACAAGCAAAAAGCCACCTCCACAATACCCATGTTTCATGCCTTCAGGATTTATAAATGAGTCACTCTGGAGTCATGGATTACCCAAAATGAAACCAAATCAAATAATCCCAGCAAAATCCAAGTTATTCCTCAGGGCTCAAGTCTGTAAGTGGGCAGTGTACCTTGAAGTCTATGATCTGAGACATGAAAAAATCAAACAGAAATATTCCTTGCCTGGAAGTATTTCCTGGAAAAAGCCAGTCTGAGGGAGGTATCTTCTGTTGGTCATGACATTGGTGTGAGTTCCTGTGTCCTTGTTCATGTGAGCAGAAGAAGCTTAAATTCAGAAAATGTGGTGGTAGTGATGACACAGCTTATGTTTGGAAGCAGAAAGTCCTGCAGGGTGGAATCTGCCAGGTTTTAGGTGCCTGTGGTTTGAAAAGCTGTGATGTAACCAGTGAACAGGAATGGCTCTGGACCAGAGGTGGTAGGGATGGTTTTGAGGTCCAGATTGTTTTGATTTGTGTTGGTAGGAAATGGCTGCAGGCAGCAAATTGTGCTGGTGGGGCTCACAGAAATTCCATCATGTTCTGCTCAATTCCTGTGGGTTCTCTTCTTCCTTTTTCTGCCTCTATCAGGTTCAGGACTGAAGGCATTTGAGGCAATGAGATCATAGTTCACATTCAGACCAGGTGTTTATTGTTTCTTATCAATGTTACAGTCCCACAGCAGTGAGTTCTGCAGTCCTTCATTAATAAGGCACAAAACGGCTAACTATCTCTTGTTACAAGGTCTTTTAAGGCTAAACTGTCCCATTAAGAAATGACACCTAAATTATTTTCCCTTTTAACCCAATAACTGATCACTCAAAGTCTGCAATGCCAATTTTTCTGTCTAATTACAAAATACCACCCAAACCCATGAAGAAGAAGGTAAAGAACAACCAGCCTCTGCCCTAAAACCTCCATCTTGCTTCATATTTATTTCTATATTCTAAAATCCCAAACTCTAAGTTTTCCACCCTGTGATATTAACCAGCCCCACACCCACAGTCCCAGTTCTGTCACTCAATTTTGGAAGCCTTCTCTATAGCCTCAGGTCAAATGCAGTGTTCTCTTGGGAGTCTATGCCTTTCAGAACAGAAAATTTGAAATTCTCAGCATCCAGGATTCCAACAAATTCCAAGAGACCCTTGGGAAGAAGGAAACTGGTGATCCTGCTTGTGTGAAGTGCAGTGAATTCATTGGTTCTTTACAGTTTTTCCATAGTTTAAGAGAATCAGATTTGGCTGATTCAATCTAATCAGTCAAGATTGGGACAGGGGTGGGAAAAGCAGTATATTTCAACAGCATATGCCTATTTTCTCCACTCTTTTATTTCAGTCCCCAAAAAAGCCTGTTTTAGAATTCCAGACTCTGATTTATTACTGTAATGAGATTTGTGTCTGCCCAAGCCCTGCTTGCCAGAATTCTCTTTATTCTTCTCTGCATGTGTTTTGCGTTGGGAAATGAATAAGGTGGTTTGGATAACCTCTCAATTAAGTGTTCCCACCTAAATATCTCCTATAATGTACAAGTTATTTTGTAATTTACATGCAAATAAGTTTACATGAAGAGAATTTGTGGAAGCTGCTTTTCTGTCCTGTCATCCTGAGAATGCCTTAACGTGATGGACAGCAGGCTGAATGTTTTCCTGTTTTTATCCTTCTTTTTTGTCCATGTTTTATTTATCTTGCAGGCTGTCTGTTCAGGGAGCAGATACATCAATTGATTTGCCTTGGCTTTTTCTAACCCATCTCCAGTTTCAGAAAAAAAAACCAAAACAAGCAGGAAAAATGCTCTCTTAGACTTGGAATGCATAATGTAGACCTTAGTGGTGTTCTGTACTGAATAATGGGGTTGTCTGATTTCTGACAGGGGTTGGAGTCAGTGATCTTGGAGATCTTTTACACAACCTAAATAATTCTGAGTCTATGAAGAGAATTATCTCAGTTGGGGCAGTTACCAAACACCTTGTTCATAATCATAAATAGTCTGAGAGAGACTAATTAGGATGAAGCTGTGCAGCTTCCCAGGTTGCCTCCAGTGCAGTCAGCCTGGCTTGTATTTCACTTCCTCCAGCAAACTTTTCCACTTCCAGACTGCAGTTGAAAGCAAGGAAAAAAATACATTTCTATTGATCTGAGGTAAGAAGTTCTTCCCAGAAAAGAGTAGTAGAGTTCTTAAGTGGCCTCCAAAGCAAGTGTGAATGCTGGGAAGTTGAAGAAAGATCAATAAAACTTGCCAGTTTGTTGGATGCTTTTGTCTTGGATCATTATTTATGCTTTCCCCTTGGAACAGAACAAATCACTTCAGGTATTTCTGCATGATTTAACAGTGAAGGTTATTCCTAGAAGACATCACGATTTTTTCCTTGTCTCCTTCCAGAAGAAAGGTAAAATGGAACCTAAGGAAAAAGAATTCACTATATTTTCTGTTTCAGAGTGACATTGTTGTTAAAAAGATGTGGCTTCTTGGAACATATGAAAACCCCTCTTGCCTTTTTCCTGATGTTGCTGAGTCTACTGCAATTAGATTTCTCAATCTGAACCTCCCTGAAGACTTCTAACAGCATAATGGAGTAGTACAGATTTATTGTGTTTATCTGAGGCTTTGTTTTTTCTTCGTCCTAAAATTTCCTTGGTTTGTAGTTACATAGGAATGGAAACCCTGAAATCACCCAAATGACTCATTTAATCTTGTTGAATTTATAATCCTCTCACTCAAATGAAGAGGGTGTTGTTTTAAGATGTGGAGTTTCATCTTGGATGGAATTTGTTTGGAACTGAGGCTTCCAAATGTCAAATACCTGATTTATAATGGAGTTGCTGTTGCACACTTCACACTGTCAGCACTGCAGTCTTACAACATTCTCTGGTGGAAGCAGTGTGGGACTTGGAGATTTGTGCAGTCCCCTGCCTGGGCACAGATCCTCTCATCCTTCACAGAACTGTCAGGCTCTGCCTTAAGATGGTTTTGGGTTTGTTTTCCTTGAATTTCTTCTATCAGAGCTAGTCCAGCACTTCAGTGCATATTTCCCAGAATTGGTTCTGGTTTTTTTTAGCCTAAACATGTCCATGATCAGTTTAGAGCTATTTTTGTTCTACATCCTCCCACCCCCATGTATTTATAGGTAGGAGTCATATCCCTTTCCAGCCTTTATTTCTCTGAGCTGAACAAGCCAAACCTTTAATTCTCCTCACCTGCAACGTGCTCTCCATGTCCCCAACGCTCCCCTGTACCTGCAGCCCTCTCTGCCTGCTCAGTCACTGAGAGCAGCTGCTGTCTCTTCTAGCAGACTCCTCACTCTTCTTTTCTTCCCCTACATTTAATGAAACACATCGAAAGATCCCATTTCTGCTCTGGGACAGCATCATCTCTGAAAATTGAGGAGGTTGATTCTCATTTCTGCTCAAAGCCATCACCTCAGCTCACCTACAGCCGTTTGCAATTCAGAGATGAACTCTTTGCTCTTTTATTGTCTGCTAATAGACACTGCCAATAAACAGCACACTGGAAGTGCTATCAAGGCTGATCTGGTGCTTATCTGCACACAATTAGGTGAAAGATTACAGGAAAAGAGAAGCTGTGACTCTTTTTTTCTCCCTGCTAGACCAATGTTGATTGCAAAGTGAATTTTCTTCTGCATTGGAAAGCAGAGGATGCTGTCCTAAATATCCTCAGTAACTGCAGACCTCTTGCATGGTCCTACAGCTGTTTAGTTGCATAGAAATGTGTCCCTCAAAAAAACCCACTGCCAAATGGGACTGGCAAATTCTGGCATTTAGTTCTATTTATAATAATAGCCTTTAAAGAAGGCTATTATTTATTTATTTAAAGATGCTCATTATGAGCATCTACCATTAAATATTATCTGTGTTTGACTTTTTGGATAAGGAGTGTTCAAAAAGAGCACACTAACCATATGACATAGCAGGCTGAATGGAAATCACTGCATTTTTTTTTCTCTTGAGTTGTTTACAAGGAACTGTAGAAATTTGATTTGGAGCTGTGTGGCTTTTAATGACAGCTTCTCTCACATAGTTTGATCTTTTGGTTCAATTATTAATCTTGTCTGGTACTGGAAATAATTTCCAGGGTAACAAATGTATTTGATATACACTGGGAAGACTTCTAGCATTATAAATAACTGAGTTTAATTTAATGCCTGTTAATAGTCCATAGTGTTGCATTTCTCAGACCTGGCTGCTTTCTGAGAGTGAGTAAAGAATAAGGACAGGAAGAGAAAAGCCATTTTCCCTTGCACACTTCATTCCCCAAATTAGTCATCTCTAGCAATCAGATGTGTTTGGTTAGGCTAAAATGCTTGGTGGTCAGCTCTTAGAAGTTTAGAATTGGTAAAACCACCTTGGAGAGGAGGGAGAGTGCACTGAGGGAGCAGATTGCTGTTCCTCTGAAGAGTTGATAAAAACAGTTCTAATGCATTAAAATAGTAAGTATGAGTTGAATGAACTTCTGCACTGGCTGGAGCCTTCCTTAAATTGATTGGAAGTTTTTATCACCAAGTCAGTGAAGTGGAAAATAGCTTTGCACAGCTGATTTGCATGAGAAGGGCTTTAGAGTGGCTGGTTTGAGGTGCTGCACTAGCTCTTGCTCATTAATTCCCATTTATTGCCTTGTATTGCTACCAGGGTTTGGGAAAACATGGGGAGAAGGGGATCACTGTAATATTTCTCTCATTTTTGTGGTTTGGCTTTTTTCCTTTGAGCCCTTATGGTCAAAATAATAACATGAATATGAATGGAAATGTCTTCCTATTCCATCTGCTGTTATGTTCTCTCTGGTCCTGCCCTTACAGAAAAATGTGTACAACTGCTTCTGAGCCAAAATTTAACTGGCACTAATGAATATAACTTGAAACATGACTGAAAATATTTAGAAAACTTCTAAGTTTGGAAGTAGCACCTACCTCTAACAGTCACCAGGTCAGTCAAAACACTCTGCAAATTCTGTGTATTTATACAGTACCAATGTGCTGCACATTTCACTGCTTGACAGTGTAATGCTGAACTTTTGAGTTGAGATACACAAAGAAATTGGAGAACACAGCCATTGATTTCAAGTCTTTTTTTAATTGCTGGTGACATGTAGATATGAAAGGAAATATTTCCAGAATCAGCTAAACTCAGTGTTAAATATTTAGATAGCTTCGCTCTCAGTATTAGTATGTGGTATTTATTTTCTCCAACTTCAGTGTACGTATCAACCAAAAATAATGCTTTAAAAGGAAGGAAAAAATCACCTTGCTGTACTTAAAAGTTGGATGTTTGGTCTGTAGGCTGAGAAGAAGCAGAGACTTCCAAAGTTCAGTTTGAAGAGTTTTAAACAAAACCTGTATGGAAAAGAGTAGAGGCTCCTCCAGCAAATGTATATTTATTTGGAAGCTCTGATTTACTGTTACCATGAATCTCCTGTGTGGTAGATGGTGAAAGAATAGCAGTGAGGTATCCAGAAATCTTATACCCAAGATTGATCATGGGTGGAAATCATTGATCAAGGGCTGTTCTTCTGCTTATTAACCTCCTGGTGTAATTTTACCTTGGAATAGTAGAAATCCTGTCTTTTGATAAAATGCACTTCTGACAGTATGTTGTTTTTTGCTCTGGGATGATAGAAATCAATCAATCACTTCTCTAATGGTGGAAACTGTAACAATAGAACTAACAAACATGACATGCTAGTCTTGTAGTGTGTGTGTGTAAACACAAGAGAATAAACTAATAAAGACAGATGATTCCTAGAAAATGGTGTTCTTGGTTTTCAAAGACCCCTTTATTAAATACATGAAAAAACTGAAAATCAGAAAAACCCACCAGATCCATCTGCTCAATTAGCTGTGCTCTGCAGAGATATGATCAAGAATTTGGTAAATTTTGGTAATTTTGGCTTCCCCCACAGGTGACTTACGGCTCTTTTGACTACACTTCTCTGCTGTATCTCTCTGACTACTCCAAGGACTTCGGGGGTGGACGCTTCGTGTTCATGGACGCAGATTCCAACAAGACCGTGGAGCCCCGAGCAGGTATGGGCCAGGCTGGCTGCAGCTTGTGCCATTCATTGACTTTTCTGGGCTGGCAGGTGGTGTGGGACTGTGTTTTTGTCAGCAGGAATAACGTGGGGCAGTGTAGCATTCTGTGTTCAGGTTGATGACATCAAAAGTGAAGATTAAAACGGGTTAAAATACAGGCACAGCTTGTAATGTCTGGTGTTAAGCCACAAGAAGTGACTTCCTGGAAAGCTGTAGGGCTTAGAAGAGGTGGCCAGTTCTGACAGCTTAGCAGGTCACTGTGTGTGGGAAATAGTAATAATGGTAATAATTTTGCATGATTAGCTCTAAGACATTTACAACATAGTCTAAAGCTGATAGGCCAAAAAAACACTTACAGCATATTATAATTAGGAAATAGCTTCTGATTGTGATAGCATGAATTATAACATCTGTATTATCTCCCCCTTCTCATGAGACTGAAAATAGAATAAAAGTTTTTAAAACACCTCTCAGTTGCCCCATCTCTGAGTCAAAATGAGCTTAGTCTGGCAACTGTGCAGCAAGAGCAGAGCTAACTGTCACTGCAGCAAATCCAAATTAAAGCAGTTTATTTTAGACTGGCCTGAAATTCCTTTGCTGCTCAAGGTGGAGCTTAATACCCTGTGATGGCTGAGGGTGGGTGTGAAGGTGATGGATTGCCACAGCTCTGCTACCTGCTGGAGCATGATGAACCATGATTACTTGGGTATAAATCCATCCCTGCTTCCAGGAGGTCTGACAGGGATGAGCCTTCTGATGGCTGTCAGTTATAAATAAATAAAAAACCTTTAAGGCTGGTTTGAGATTTTTAATATGTGGAGAATTTGAAACTAGAATTACTCTGGGGCTGCCTAGAGAGGAGCTCAGCCTCAGCTCATCTGTCTGGCAGGTGAGTGCTGAGCTTCCAGCAGTGTTACCTTTCATAATGCAAGATCAGCCACACTGCTGCAGGGAAAAAGAAAAAAAAGTCAACTTTATATTCCTGCTGTGTTCTGTCTTTTTTTTCCAAGAGAGAAAAGATGGAAATTTACTCATTTAAAGAGCCTCAGTAATTGTCTGCTGACTGTTGTTACCCCAAGCAGAACTGACTTCAGACTACTGCTGCCTGCAAACTGGGATGAGTGTTCTTTGAATTCTGGATCATAGTGATCCACTCACCTGCAGTGATGCTGGTTTAGATTAACTCTGAGATTACTTGGGTTTGCTAGCAAGAGCTGTATGTTTGATTATTTTGTCTTTTATGATTGGAAGCAAACCCTAAATGAAAGCTTCATCTTTTGCAAAATGCTGCTGCAAGGATTTTGAAAGGGAGCACATTAAACTATTTTTCAGATGCAATTCTAAGATTACCAGATCTTTATAGCTGTAGAAATCACAACTGAATTCCAGGTGTTTGGGGAGAGCTGTCTCACTCAGCCTGGCTGCAGAGTGCAACATGCCCCTGACTTAATTTCCAAAAGTCTCTAACTGTGAAATTGCTTCCATTCAGCCCCATCTATTAATTTTCAGGTTTTCTGCTGCAAGATCTTTGCTCTTGATGTTGTTTTGGGGGAAGAAGGGGAAGCTGATGAAATACAGAATGTTCTTTTTGGCTGTCCCTTTGCCAGGGACAGTATGGGCAGTGTGTGCCACAGGACACCCCTTCTGAGACAAAGCAATGCACAGCTCCTCAGGAATAGCACAAATGTCCCTCATGGACACAGGAGAAAATTAATTACACTTTTCTAACACATCTCTGTTATCACAGTTGTTAGGGCTCCTCTGATTGTGTCACAACCTCTGACAGCCTGTGTGCAGAGGACAGAAGCTTGAAAGGTGAAGCACAGTGTGAAGGCATTAGCACTTATTTTTCCTCTTGCTGACAAAATGTGTTTTGTGAAGGAATGACCCCAGGCTGTTTGCTGTTGCTGGTACAAATTGATGTATTTTTCGTGTTCATAGTGTTCCTCTGCAATGTTTTTCTCTCCTTCTGTCTTTTTGGCTTTTCTGTTTGTTTTGTTTTACGCTTCTTTTGATCCTTTGTGCTTCTCTTGCCACTCCAGCTCAACTTTTAAAACCACAGGTTGATGAGCTTTCATGCTTCTCATTTAGGAGCTCCAGGCTTTTCTAGGGATGACTGTCATAATCACTGGTTCAGTTTTCGTGATTGACAACTAATTTACTTTTCTGTATTGCTAATTCCACTGCATCCTAAAAACTTGGTACTTGTCCCACACTTAGCCTGCATTTCTGGGGACCTGATTCTGAGTGCCAAAATGAGCAGGTTTCTTTTCCTGTGAGCAGCAATTTGTTCAAGTGTCAGTGGGGAGCAGAAAAGCATTGTTAGTGATGCAGCAGAGCAGAAAAGCAGTAATTGGAAATAGAAGAAAAAAGCAATTAAACCATTGTGGGATGTCCTGTGTTTGAAAGTGCTGCCTGGGCAAGTCCCAGTGCTGCTGCAGATGCATTTGCAGCACTGCACTGGTGAGGATCAGTGTCAGCCAGGCAGCTGGGGACAGGGAGAACTGTTCTGCCAGGAGTGGAGCCTAAATTAAAATGCTTTTCACTTCCCACAGTGTATATCACTTGTAGATTACCTAAGAAGTCTCTAAATCCTGACTTTCACATAGTTGACTAAACAACTCTCTAATTTGTGGGATGATCTTTAACATCCCCTAGTTTGGTTGTTAGCAAACATTAGCTTTAAGAAGGAATTGTGATTTATTAACGTTGAGGCTCTTTAGATTATTTTTTTAAACAGGAATGAACAAGTCAGCACCAGTTCAAGTGTACAGACCTTTGGCTAATTCATAGCCAGACATGGCATGAAGGAACACATCTTTCTTATGCTCTGATGGGCTGCAGAAGTGAATATTTGTCTTTTGACATCAGTCAGGACCTCTCTGCCACAAGAAACTCACTGTACCATAAGGAAGAAAATTCTTAGTGCCAAGGGATATACAACTTCGAAAATATTTTTTTTGTGACAAAGAAACAGATCTAAAGTAGTATCTGTTTCTTTTAAATATACAAGGAAATTCTGCTTCCAGAATTGTCATACTGGGATTTTCCCACCCCTTTGCACCAGGATTGGCTCTGTGTGAGAGACTGTAAGAAACAGAGCAACATTTTGAAAATGAGGGCCCTTCAAAACTAAGCCCTTTCCATATTAACTCTTCTTACTGGTCTGAGACATGTTTTAGTAATCTGCAAGACATAAGGAGGAAGAAGAATAAATGGCAGACATCAAGGCTTTCTTTTTTCAGACACCAAATTGGTATACTTTATTCTGCTGCTAAGCTTGTTAGTGTTTAAAATTTCATATTTTAAAATTTCATATTTAGAATTTCATAATTTTGCAGAGTCTTGTGTGAATTTGGGGTCTGGCAATATTAGGCAAGTTCCAGACTTTACTTAATCATAAAGTGTAGATGAAACTGTGTTTGGGAATGAAATCCCAGCACTTCTTCTGTGTTCTTTATTTGCATGTGCATTTCTTGGTTTGAAGGTCAGCTTTGCTGCACTTATTTTCAACTTACAAGGGAATTTGTTCTTCCTACAAGTAATTTGTTACACAAACACAGAAGGAAAGGTCACAATCACTTCTGTGTGTTTCTGGGAGAAACTAATCTGTGGGGCAAAATGAATTCTGTACATTGGAGAGTGCAATGTGACTCTTTAATCTCAAACTTAGTCTATTCTCACTTAGTGTTTCTGGAAGGGTAAAATATTTGATTTGAAGGTATAAGAAAATATTTGGGAACTCCACCCATACAGACAGTCTCATCTTTCTCTGTGTTCAATCCACATCCTCCACATTCAGTCTAGATCATGATAATCTGCCAATTCTAACTTTAGTTCTGCTCCAATCAGTAAAAAACTGCAGCACATCTTGAAGTTAAATCAGTATTTTTAAAAAATCCACAGCAGTAGCTGTCAGTCTTGGTGAGGAAGAAATGGAGGCAGCATTAGCAGCTGCAACAAAACTCACCACAAATTGTGCCAGGGACTGGTGAGGTGATTGCAAAGAGTGGTAGGAAGAGGAGAATCTGTTGCAGTCATATAAAAAAGGGCAAAAAAATCCTTATTTCTCAATAGAACAAAACTTTTGGTTTTGTTACCTGTGGAAGAATAACTTCTTCCAGGCAGGTTTTGTATTCTGCTGGTGTTTGATGCCAGGTTAATGAAAAAACCACTATTTTAACTGGCAACAAAGCAATAAGTACCTGGGAGTGCAGGTGTTATTTGTGGTGATTCTGTGAGTGACCTCTGATAAATCCAGTGCCTTGTTGAGGCAGCTGTCACATTTCCTGCAGCACTGGAAGGATGGAGGAATGCTGGGGAAGAGTTGTCCTGTGCTGGTGTTGCACAGAGCTTTCTGAAGCACTGCCATGTTCAGATTTCGCCTCTGAGGCTTTCCCCTGCCATGAAAACTTGGTTATAAATGACCACATGTCTGTTTGTGCCTTTATGTAATGCTTGTGCAGCCCAGTATTTCAAAAATTTGAGTTGATATTGGTCAAGAAAATATGCAGGAAAGCTGAAGGCAGAAATCAGTGGAAAAATCAGCTTCAAAGTGTTACTCCATGAAATCAGGTAATGTAACAGATGAAATAAAACAAAATACCAAAGTAACTACAGGTTCAGCTGTCTGGTTCAGTAGTGAGAGTTGATTTCTTGGTTCCTAAGCTGTGTGTGAATGTCACAGATGCTCTGATGAAGCCTCTTTAAGGACTGTTTTTGGAATAATTGAGCAGCAGAGGTTACCTTTGTGCTTATGCTTCAGTGATTTACTAAATGTAAGGATGAATTCCTTCTTACCAGAAGTCCAAAACCCAGAATTTGGGCATCCATGGGATTTGACCAGAGCTCTGCTAGACATGCCATGTTTGGCAGGGTCAGGAAAAGTCAGATGGATGATGCTGAGGTTGTTTAATGGGGCTGAAGTTGAAACACTTTGTTCTTAGTGAGAACTTTTTGTAGGAGTCAAAATCTGATCCCTGGTGCTGCTGCTGTGACAGAGCAGAGCAGACCTGGCTGGGTGAGAGCTGGAAAATATCCCTGCCCTTCTCTGGGGAGGAGAGATGGAGCCAAAAGGCCTTGGGGAGACTCATAATTGATGTGGAGAGAGCAAATATTCAGTTTTCACTTTTAAATACTCCCCAGGGTTGTCACACCTCCAGACAGAGCGAAAGCTGCTGTGGTTTTGAGCAACCAGCTGTGCTGGGAGGAGAGAAGCAGGCAGGGATTCTGAAAATCCAGCAGCTGGTACCTGAAAATGTTTGTGTACTTTTAGCAGGAAATGAATGAGTTCATTCATTTTCTTTAAAAACTAATCTGGAAGATTTCCAGGCCTTCCTGAATTCAAAGAAGAAGCAACTACTTTTCTGAGAGTATTGTTAATACTACAAATTACAGATTGGCTGTGGGAGACTTCACTGTGTGAACCAGTGATTTTATTTAAGCAAGAAATTTCTGTCTAGTAACTAAATATGGGACAATTTTGTAACTAGGATTTGATACCCATTGCAGGTAGTTTTATTTTATTTATTTAAAATAAATTTATTTTAAAATTTAGAAATTTTTAAACTTTATTAAAATTAATTTATTTTTAAAATTTTGAATGTATTTTAAAAAGTTATTGTATTTATTTAATTTATTTTAAATTTAATTTTATTCTTCTGTGCTTGACATAAATGTAGCAAAATGGTTCAGAGAAGCTTGTGCCCTCTCTTTTGGGTGCCTTCTTCACCCCAGATCAGGGCACTTGCAGACATTGTCAGTCCAGGTTCCTTTTGTGGGATTTGCTTAAAGCACTTAAATTCTCCCAATTCAACATTTTAAAATAAGTAATTGAATCAGTTAAATAAATTTCATTGTGTGCTTGCAGACAACATTATTACCAGTTTATTTGCCTAATGATGTGATGGGATTTCTTGGACACTCTACAGGAGAATGAATTGGTGATTAATCCTAAACAGATGCTGAGGATGAGAACTGTTGTGCATTTTCCCTGGCAGTGCTTCTGTCTGGCTGTCACTCAGCAGATGAGATGCAGTTTTTCCCTCTTTCCTGGGGAACATTTAGAGCTGATAAATGTTAGGCAGAGAGTGGAAGCTGTCAGTGCATGAGATGAAAGATGCTGAATAGATCTGTGGTGCCAAATAAACTGTTCCTGCTTCCCTTTAACCAGACAGAGGAGTTGCTTCACAGAATTCATGGAATTCACAGAATTCACAGAATTCATAGAATGACTGGGTTGGAAGAGACCTTCAAGAATTCACAGAATTCACAGAATCACTGGGTTGGAAGAGACCTTCAGGATTACCGAGTCCAACCCAGCCCCAACACCCCAACTGAACCCTGGCCCCCAGTGCCACATCCAGGCTTTGTTAAACACACCCAGGGATGGTGACTGCACCACCTCCCGGGCAGCCATTCCAGAACTTTATCACCCTTTCTGTGAAAAACTTTTTCCTGATATCCAGCCTATATTTCCCTTGGTTCAGCTGGAGGCTGTGTGCTCTGGTTCTGTCAGTCCCTGGAGAAAGAGCCCAGCCCCAGCTGAGCACAGGCACCTCTCAGGGGCTGTGCAGAGTGAGGAGGGCACCCCTGAGTCTCCTTTTCTCCAGGCTGAGCACCCCCAGCTCCCTTCCTTCCCTCTGAGCAGCAGCTCAGTCTTCCCAGTGCCCCCAGCCATGGGCGGTGGGTGGAGTGAGACCCTTCCCATTCCCCCAGCCCTGCTTTGCCTCCCTTCCCTGGTGTCCAGGAAGGAGAGCAGGGGCACAGATGGGATGGGAATTAACATTCTCTACCCTCTTTTTGAACATTTATACTGATAAAAATAATGTACTGTGGAAAGAGTGTGTTTTTGCTTCAAAAGTATTGTAAAGGAAGTAAGTTTAAAATAAATCCTTCCCAAGTGAGGAAAAAGCATCTTTGAAAACTGACTGTAGCCTTGTTCAGTTATCCAGAGACCCCAGCTGATGCATATAGGAGCAGATTGATACTATATATATGAAAACATATTTATTAAAGAACTTAAAAGACATTCAGTATAGCCAAAAAAAATTCAATTTAACTGGCTTAACACATTGAATGTTGTCTAACTGTGAATTACTACTACTTCTAGTCAGAGATCAAACAAAACAGCTTGAGAGTCAGTTTAAGGCAAAGCTTTGGGTGAGCAGGTGAGGGACCAATAATAATGTACTTTAATGAAAGTTTAAAAGGGAAAAAAAAACCATGACAGGGATTTTGTATGGAATCCTTGAGGGCAGCACTGTTCATTGCAACACTGGTGGGACAGGAGCACGTTGCCTTCATTTAGCCTTTCATCCAGAAAAGCAGGACAGTGAGGTGGGAATGCTGTCAGCATCAAAGTCAGTGCATTTCCATCTCACCTGGTGCCACCTGTGCCTGCAGTGTCCCCAAGCAGGGTGGTGATGGTCAAGGCTTGGGGCAAGCACACCACTGAGCACTTGGATCTGTAAAAGAACTGCCAAGCCAGTGCATGGATGGAGTGGCTCTTTGTAAGGAGAGTGAATTTGTGCATGGCTGATGTGTGACTTTGTACCTGCCTGAGTGGGAGTGATCAGAGCAGGCACAGAAAGCCATAGCAAACACTTGGTGCAATGCTGATGTCTGCCAAACCTGCTGAGGTTTTGTCACTGAAGGCTTTTTGCCACCTCTGGTGCTTCCTCCTTCTTTGGTCTAAAATCAGAGCCAGGACTAGAAGAGGAGCAGGGAGGAAATCAGCACACTTTGCTGACAGTCACTAGCACTTCTTTGTTTTTAATTGAGGCAGCTAAGAACTGGCTTCCATGTTCTTGGCTTCCTCCTGCCTTTTACAAAGTAGCTTTGATGGGATTCTGTGGCGGCAGCTCGGGTGAGAAACACACAACTTTCCCAGGCATTGCCTGAGAAAGTCTATGAGAAGATCAGAGAAAAGAATGAGAAACAATTCTTCACTTGCTGCACCTGCTGTTGTGAACATGTGGAATGTGTTATGGAGAGTTGGTTACCAAAGGGTGGTTTCTTAGCCAGTGGTGATGGTGTTTTGATTGGAGGACCAATCAAGTCTACCTGTATCATGTCTATAAAAGCAAGGGGTTTCTTAATAAAGACAGAGATTGATCAGCCTTCTGTGAATCAGTGCTAACTATTACCCAGCTGGGGGTCTGCTGTGATGATGGGATTCCATCTCCAGCTTTGTGGCACAAAGGATGAATGTATTTATGAAAGGGTGAAAAGCTGTCAGAGTGCAGTGTAATCCCATAGCAGTTTGTCTGGGATCACCTGTGGGCTCCCAGCTCACCGGGGAACAGCAGGAACCAGACAGCAGCAGAGCTGCAGCTGATGGCAAACTCCCCTGATGGGTTCAACCCTTTGTCTTTGCAGGCCGGGTGTCGTTTTTCACCTCGGGCTCAGAGAACCTGCACCGGGTGGAGCGGGTGCGCTGGGGCACGCGCTTCGCCATCACCATCTCCTTCAGCTGCGACCCGCAGCACGGCATCGCCGACCCGCTCCTGCCCTGACTGCCCTGGGGGAGAGCAGAAAGGCAGAAACCAGCTCTTGTCACCTCACGTGCCATGAGAGCTGCCCAGCTCTGGGAACACACTGTCACACGCTTGGTTTTCACAGCTCCTTTTCCATCAGCATCGAAAACGGTGGCTTAAGGACCATCCTGAGTTTGATGAACTCTGAATATGGTTTGTCTTCATGTGTCAAAGGAACAGGCTGCAGAGAAGAGAGAACGGGTACCATAAATAAGAGAGAACAGGCTCCACAAAGAAGGGAGAATGGGTACCATAAATAAGAGAAAACAGGCTCCACAATGAAGAGAGGATGGGCTCCACAAAGAAGAAACAATGGGCTCCACAAATAACCCAAAGAACAATGGGTTCCACAAAGAATGAACAATGGGCTCCACAAAAAAGAGAAAGTGGGCTCTTCATTTTTTAATTTTTTTTTTAAAGTTCTTCACTTTGAAAGATACAGTCTTCTGGGCCATGCCTTGATGTGACTCCCCAGGCTGCTGTTACCTGTTCAGTTCTTTAGTCTCCTCATTACTAACGTGGTGTAGAGTCTGACCTAAGTGAATTGAGCCTAAGTTAATTGAGACCTGAGTTAATCGAATGTTCCTCTCTAGAACTCTCAACCTTCTGCTGAGAGGGATGGATTCTCCTGAGTGTGGGATCAGTGTGGAATACCCCTGGGACATGAACTTTTTTAAAAATTTAATTACTACTGATTCAATATTCAGGAAGTCTCTCAGTAGCTATTTTTTGACTTCTCTTTTCCAGTTTAGTGTGAAGACTTTCTCTGTTAATGAGGATCCTGAATATTAAATTGCAGGGACTTCCACGAGGAGCTGTGTGCAAACACATGCATAATCTTGCCAAATACTTTGGGTTTTTTTGCTGCAGTCAAAGATTTCTTTGGGTCAGGAGGTTGATAAATAAATGGTAGAAAAAACCTAATTTTTTTTCTCAATCAAATTCTGAAATAACCACGTTGATCTGGTTTATTACCTGGATGTATAATTTCTGTGAAACACTGAAAATCTGGGAATGTGTTTTGATTTTTTTTTAAAATTTTATGCATACAGTTTGGACTTTATAATGTACCCTTTTATGGAAATAATAAATACTGGGGGGAATTATATTGAAGATCAATATAAAGAGGAATAAGAGGACACTTGGACTTGTGAAGGCTCTCATTGGGCACACCAGCAAGATTAGTCCTCTAATTTCATTTCTTTGTTCTGAAGCTTGAAAAAGTCTTCCTTGTCTGTACTAACAAGGGAGAATTGTTAAATTGGCTGGATGCAAGGAAATATTAAAGTCACTTGAGTTTCAGATTGAAATACTTGTCTTAAAGCCTGTTTATTCCAAGGAATTTGCATTATACTATGTTTTAGGTCTGTGTGAAGGCAGACCAAGATCATCAACAGCTTTACTGGATTGAACTTGATTAAAATGTAGATTTAAATGAGATTTAAGTGCAGGGCTTTTCTCTCCAGATAACCTGACAGGAGTCTGAACATGAATGGCCCTGTGCTTGCTGGTTACTCCTGCCATGCCAGCTGTGAGTGGCACTTCTGGAGCTGCCCTCTGTCAAATCCTGCTCAACAAGATCATCTCAGCCCATGGGGGAATCTCAGCTCATCTCCTCTTGGATTTTCATCTTCTGAAGATCCTGTGTCCTGTAATTACTGCTGCCCATGGTGCATCTCCTCCTGGGAGCTGATGGATGTTCAGAAATAAAATCAAGCTGGTTTTTGTCTTTTGGAGTCTTGAAGCCTCAGTAATCTTGGGCAATATGGTGACCAAACCTGTCACCTGTGATTTGTTGGGAAATTGTGCACTGGGCATGGTGGGGGAGCTCTTCTTTGGGAAAAAAGCCAAATATTTTGTATGTTTTAGTGCCACTGAGATTCTTCTATTTAGAGCTTCAATATCTAGATTACTAAAAGCAATGCCTAGATCTAGGGAGAATTTAAATGGCAAATGAGGAAGCAAAGTGCAATCTAAAAGTTTCTGAAGGTGGCCTCCAGCAGGAAGCAGTAATTGCAGAATGTTCCTGGGGCAGAGTGGAATTTGAATTCACTGCTTAATAGGAACAAACTTGGTTGAATTTCTTTCAGGCCGCTTAAATACCCTGAATAACTTTTTATTAAGGGTCTCTCCAGATAATGACATGTAACTCTGAACTTGAAATATATTAATTTCTGTGCTTTTTTGTGGCTCAGCTGCCTGTTGGAACTGCAGGGCTCCGTTTCTTAGAACTCTGCTCCAAGGGCAGGATTTCTTCAAGTAATGAAGAAATATTCAAGCAGCATCAATCTGATGCCAGACTGCTGCAGAGAAGTGCTCTTAATTGAACAGAGGTGATGACAGAACGTGGCTGGATGTGTCCCCTCTGTGTGAGGACCTTTCTGAAGAGCCCTTGCAGTGAAAATAAAGTCAAGAAAGGTCAGTGCTTGTGCAGTGGGAACTGGGGCCCGGTCCTGGTGGTAAAATTACAGCTTTTGCACCTGAAAGCAGACTCGTTACAAGTGTCTGGGAATGCTGGGTTGTATTTGGAATGGAAATTACTTGAAAGGAAAGGGAGAGGCTGCTGGTGTGAAAAGTCCCAGAGTAAAATAGAAAATGCAGCAGGAGAGCAGGCCAGATTTGAGTCCCTAAGTGAGACTGAGTGAACCTCTTGAGGACTTCTGTGAAGTTGTACTACTTTTAAAACCACATTTCCATTCAGATGTTTTGTGGAATATCAGGAACTGTTGAAAAATTGGCAGGTTTTGTGGCCACATTAGGTTTTTAGTGTAGCCTACCTTTCAGTCCTGTAGCATGCATTCAATTTTAATTTTTTTTATCTCCTCTGATTCTAGGAACTCTAGGTGGACTTCTTGGCACTTCTCATGGATGACATTTTCATTCTCTAAGCAGCTGTGGAATCATTTTTAATTCCTTGTAAGTCAACTGCAGGTTTAGGAAGTTACATTTATGTTGAGATTTTCCTGAATATGTATCATCCACCTGAAATATTCTGCACTCCATCTCAATTTCCAGTCCAGAAATGTTTACTAGGATACCCTATTTACAAAAAAAAAAAAAATATTTAAATGTGGATTTGTAGCAGAAATTCAACTTCATGTCTTATTTTTAAGGTCAGCAGCTGTGTGCTTTAGGAGGCTGTAGCACCTGATAATGTGCACATTAACATAAATTAGCTGAAAAGGCATTGATGATGACAGTCACTAAGGAAATCTGGTTTTGTTTCTTCAGTTGCATTTCTTAGTATTGAATTGCTCCTTCACAGCTTTCCTTTCCCCAGAAAAAGAAGAGTATATTGTTTTTAATGTAAGAGTTCCTGGTGTTCCTTCTCCATCCAGGTATCCTTCCACAGTGTGTGCCGGGGATTTGGTTCTCTCTAACCTGCCCGTGCAGAGCTCTCTGCAATATTTTTGTCTTGTCTAAACTCTAAATTCTAAAAGCAGGAAATGCTGCTGGAGGTCAGGGCTCTTTGAGTGGGGAGGAATAAATACAACCCATCTACCTTCTCCAAGTGAAAAAAAAGTAAAATAATAAATAAATAAAATAAAAATTAAATAAATTAAATTAAATCCCAGCTCCCTTTGTTGAGTGTGTGGAAATCGAAGCACACATTCCAGGAGCAGCAGAAGAGTTATTTCCTTTCTGAACCACAGGTGGCTCTGGCACACATGGATTGCCTCAGCCTGGGAAAATGCAGCTCAGGCATCTCCTGGAGGGTGGGAATCCTCTGCTGAGTGCCCTCTGCTCCTTGTGAGCAGCCTGGGAGCTGGAGCTCTGCCTTGCTGTGGCTCTTGGGAACATTTTACATCCTTGCCTGCACCCTGCTTTCAGCTCTCTCTTCCTGATTGGTAATTTATCCCCCAAAATAAAAAAAAATGAGGCCATTTTTTATCTTCTGTGAGTGCTGGTAGCTTTGTATAACTAAAAAACTTAAAATTTTCAGGGTGGGCTGTGCAAAGGAAATAAATAAATGTCTGATTTCCCAAGTACACATCTTTTGAGTGTGTCCATCTCAAATCACTCATTTCACCTCTCACTTCTGTCCAGTTACTGACGGGACAGAGCTCAGGGCATTATTTACTATAATGGGCATTAATTATTATATAATTGACTGCCTTGCTAGCACTGCAGAGGAGCTGGCTTTTTCCTCTGATCCTTTTAGCCAACGTGGGCTATTAATTGTTATTAATAGGATTTTTATTATTTTTATTAATCTCTATTAACAGGAATTTTATTAATATTTATTAAATAATAACAGTTATAGTATTAATAGTATTTTATTAAATAATAGTATTATGAATAGAATAGAATAACAGTATTCTATTCTTAATAAATATTATTAGTTTTATATTAACTTTTATTAATATCAATATGATTTTATTAATTTTTATTAATATTTCTTAATGTGATCTTTTATTAGAATTCTTTCTAACTCAATTTTTTGAGATTTTTCATTCCTCAGCATTTGGGTTTTTTCCCCAAATACTCCTATTTTTCTTCTAGCAGAGGCATTGTCCATGTTTAGCCCAATTATTTCAGAAATATTTCTTTCCATCTTGCCTGTTTTCCTGTACAGCTGAAATAATGACAAGGCGTGGATGTTGAGCCTTCTTGTCTTTCCTGACACCTCCTGCACAACGAGGAGGGAATTTTGAAACAGAGACCAGAGAGAGTGAGACCTTGGGACCACAAGAAATGCCTTGCTTGAATAATTCTTACTCTGGAATCAATAAAGCAGCCTGGAAGTACCACCTGCTTTATTTTTGTAGTATTTAGGTGCATCTCATTAAAAATATCTTGGCTTACTGCTGAATAATCCTGAGGCTGTCCAAGGAGCCCACGGGGGGGAATGCACGAGCTGCCAGGTCAGACTGGTGGCTCAGAATGAGCTGCACTGAAACCTTCCCCCTTCTCAAGGAAATACTATCTTTATTCCCCTTTCTCAAGGAAATATTTGTTTATTCCCCTTTCTGAAGGAAATCCTCTGTTTGTTCCCCTTTTTGAAGGAAATACTCTGTTTATAGGGAGAAGCTGAGATTTGTGGAGTGTTCACGTTCCGTGTTCCTGGGAATTTCTTGTAACAGTCCTCCAGTGTCCAAAAACAGCTCATTTTAGACATGGATACCCTTCCTGTTCTTTTATTAACAAACCACAGCAGCCCCTCCACCTCCAAAAAAACACCAACTGAGTTCCTGAGCCACGGTTTTTCTGTTCAGACACCTTGAGGATTTGTCTCTTTCTTGTTCCTCAGTTTATACAATTATTTTAAGCTGTTTATATAGATGCCTGAACACTTCGCTGCTGACTCCACAGAAAAAAAATCTTGCTGTTTTCTTTTGAGAGAGCTTTTCCCTGCCAGGGGAAGGTCTCTGGGTGGATTCCTACCTTGGAGGTGACCTCCTCAGCATATTAACTTGCCAGCCAGGCCATTAAATCTTGTGGGAATAAACAAAGGCAGCTCCTAATGGAGTCATTCTGCATGTCTTGGCTCAGGGTGGTGCTTTCTTCCATTCCCTCTAGCAGGGAATTGTGTTTATTTCTGATTTATGTTCCTGAAGAGCAGAGGTGTTCTGGGAGTCCTCCCTGCATAATGGGGTTTTAATTTTAATTGTGGTTCACTGAATAACCTTGTAAAAAGAAGGCCACATTTTACCAGGTGATTCAAAACTTAAAAGGTTGCTCTGAAAGAAAAACTCTTGAGCCCATTTAGTGCCCACACTTCCCATCACAAAAGAAATGAGAGAAGTGATCTTGGATTATTTCTACTTTGCTAAGGGCCATGAATGTCTGTTTTCTTGGTTTCTTTATATTAAGGGAAAATAGGAATTAATTTGAGAGTCATTCCTTTCCACAGGGATGAATGTGATCAAAATAATTTTGGACTAGCAGGGAAAAAGCAATTCTAGAGAAGCCAGCCAAGCAGGGGGGAAGTGAAATTTCAGATGGTGTTAGGCAGGGAGCAGCTACAGGAGATTCCTCCCACGCTGACGTGTCTGTGGCACTTTGAACTGACATTTTCTCCTCCTCCTCACTCTGCTTTATTGTTTCATTAGATCAGACAACTGGAAACTGAGAGCTTTCAGGCAGCAAAGCCCTTCCTATTCAAACCTTTTACAAAATTTTCAGTAGCTGAAATTTGTTTCAGCTATTTATCCTGTCCGTCCTCTGTTTGAATTAATAATGAACAGTGGATGTGCTAAAATAAGTTGTGATGCTGCATCCAGCTATTTAAAAAAATGATGGATTATGCTTCCTTCTGCATTTATCTTGTGCACCAAATGGGCATTTTTTAAGTGATGGTGTCCTCCAC